ATGTGGTGGTGGAAGATGCGGTATTGGATTCCAATCAATCCATTGTGATTCAAGAATCGGCCAACAGGGTTATTTCGGCTCAAACAGTGTTCTCCGAAATCTTATCAACCAAATAACGATTGCAGAAATCCACCAAAGGCTTGGGCATGGCATAATGATCAAATGTGGTTGTTTGGATTAAGGAATCCATGCTGGCCATGTGTTCGTGGTCTTTTTCGGAGATTTCAGCAAACATAAAATCGATGGTTAATTTTTGATGGGTAAGCAAATGGGTCGTAGTGGTTACTTTGTCGACTTGTTTGCAAATATGCTCTGGCAGAGCATCCAATATCGGAAATTCATATAGTTTTTTCCAAATGCTTTTATCATTACGCTGTTTAATCCAATAACGGTTGTCGTGCATTAGAACGGCATATCGAATGGTGATTTCTTTTTTTGGATTTTTCTTTATTTTTTGAGGGATTTCGTGTGTTCGATTTTCATGATAGGCTTTGCAATTTTGATGAATCGGACAATTCATGCAATCGGGTTTTTGGGGTCTACAAACCATGGCCCCCAAGTCCATGATGGCTTGATTAAAATCACCAGGGCGTTTGATATCGATTAAGTCTTGGGCTTTTTGGGTTAGCAAACGAATGGTTGAAGGACTATTTATGGGAGTATCAACACCCAAATAACGACTATAAACCCGGTATGCATTGCCATCCATGGCCACGCAAATTTGATCAAACGCCATGGATGCAATGGCGGATGCAATATACTCGCCAACGCCTTTAAGGGTTTTAAGTTCTGATTTTTCGGATGGAAATTCCCCTTGACGGTTAAAGACAATATCTTGGGCGCATTGGTGTAAATTTATAGCCCGACTATAGTAGCCCAAGCCTTGCCACAAAGACAATACTTTGTCTTGTGAAGCATTGGCCAAATCCTCTATGGTAGGTAGTTCGCTAATAAATTGATTGAAATAAGGAAGACCCTGTTTGATTTGAGTTTGTTGAAAAATGACTTCGGACAACCAGATCCAATACGGATTTTTAACCACCCTCCAAGGTAGATTCCGCTGGTGGGCATCATACCAAGTTAATAAAATTTTAGAAAAATTCAAATCAATCAATTAAAATTCATATATTTGCCCTCCCTTTTCGAGGCGAATGCAAAGCTAAAGTAAATATAATTAATTAATATACGACAATATGACTAAATCAGAAATTGTGGCAAAGATTTCTACCAAGATTGGGTTAGAGAGGGCTGAAACTTTGAAGGTTGTAGAGGCATTTATGGAAGAAGTAAAAAGCTCTATTGAATCAAGCGAAAATGTTTATTTAAGAGGCTTCGGTTCATTTCATGTTAAAACACGGGCTCAAAAAACGGGACGAAATATTTCAAAAAATAAAGCCATCATTATTCCAGCACACAATATACCAGCATTTAAGCCAGCTAAGGTGTTTGTAGAATCGGTTAAGGAAAAAGTAAAGGTAAAATAATTCATAATATAAGAAGACATGCCAAGCGGAAAAAAAAGAAAAAGACACAAGGTAGCTACTCACAAGCGTAAAAAAAGAAGAAGACTTAATCGTCATAAGAAAAAGAAATAAGATTTTTTATTTCTTATCATTTTACATAGAAAAACATTTTCGATGAATCGGAAATGTTTTTTATGTCTTTTTGTTGGTATTTCGCATTTTCTTTCTCAGGGTCTTGTCAATAGAAGTAGTAGGTATGGGAAAAGAGTTATTGGTATCAGCCAAACAAGATGAAGTTAAAATAGCGTTGCTCAAAGATGGGCGACTTATGGAAGTTCATAACGAGTCTAGGGAAAAGAAATTTTCTCATGGAGATATATTCATTGGTCAAGTTAAAAAAGTGGCCCCTAGTTTGAACGCAGCCTTTATTAATATTGGGCATGAAAAAGATGCGTTTTTGC